ATGCCGACGGCGTCCTCCGCCTTTCGGCGCACCGGCGACGCCGCCGCGGATGGGTTTCGCCGCCGCCAAATCGCCCGCGGGGGGGCCGCGGAGGCCGCGGAGGCGATGGAGGCCGCCTTCGAGCGGGTCCTCCTCATCGCGTTTGGCGTCGCGGAGGAGCAGATCCGGCGTTGCCTCGTCGCCCCGCACCCGAAAGAAGGGGTTTGGGGAGGAGGAGGAGGAGGAGGAGGGGGAGGGAGGCTGCTTTCACGGGGTTCCACCGTCCCCGTTGGGGTTGGGGGGGGGTTGGACGGCAACCCCATCGACGACGCCGCGTCGGAGTCGTCACGGAGCTCGGGGTTCGCCTCCCCGCTTCACGCGAGGCTGGGGGGGAAAGGCGGGGGTCCGGAACGCGGCGTCCCCCCGCCGCTTCTCCCGGGGGAGGCCGATCTCGCCTGGCCGCGGTCGTTTCTTTGGTTGTATCGCCACCACCCCGGGCTCTTCACGCAGCCGCACGAGCCGGAGCACGAGGAGATCGCCTCGGCGTTCACCTCCCGCTGCTGCACCGGCGGCGGGCCCTCGGAGCTGAGCAGGCGAGGCGGGGGAGGAGGAGGGGGCCTCACGGGGGCTCGCGCGGGGGAGGGGTTGAGTTTCACCCCGCCAGAGATGCCGTACACGATTTTCGACCCCCCGTTGGAAGCCAAGGAAGGGGGCGGGGTGGGGGTGAAATCGGAGTGGGATCGTCTGTTTCCTCCCGAGGAGGCTTCGTCTTCGCATGCGCATGCGCGGGCGCGAACGACGAGCGCCTACCAAGCGGCCCTCCCCCTCCCCTCTCTCCCTCTCCCCTCCCCCCTCCCCTCTCCCCCGTCCCCCCCCTCCAGCCTCACCGCCGGGGGGGCGAAGCGGAAGAGCGTGCGGATCCGCCCCGAGACGGGGGCCCCGTGGGGGGACTCCCACACCCTCGCCTCGTTGAGTTTTTCCACCGAGCGGCGCGGCGCCGCGTCGACGGAAGGGTCGGACCCCCCGGTCGGGCCGTTATGCCTGCCGGAGCTCTCCCTGCTGGAGATGATTTTGGCCGCCGCGGTGGTGTTGGACGCCCCGCCGGCCCCCTCCGACGGGGGGGGGCGACGGCCGTGGGTGAAAAAAGGCCCGCCCGGGCGGGGAACGGAGGAGCCCCCGCCTGCGTATGCCGTCAAGGTGATTTCGGAGTTCCTGGATAATCACCTCCCCCGGGGAGGCGGGGGGGAGCCGCACGCGACCGCCGCTGGGGAGGTCTTTCCTCAGCTCGATCCCGCTTCGGGGGAGCCGAGCCGGCTGAGCGAGGTCGCCTCGCGCTCTTCCGTTTCCTCTCACTCGCGGACGTCGACCTTCTCCCTGCGGGCGGATCTGCTGAACCCGACGCTCGCGGAGGGGGAGACGCCGGAGCCGACCACGTCGGCCTCCGACAGCGACGAGGCGAACGAGCTTCGTCTTCGCCTGCAGCATCTTCTCCGCGAGCTCCGTCGCCACTCACGGCAGGGGGAGCTCACGTCGGAGGCGGTTCGCCGCGCCCCCGGGGGCTGTGCGGGGTGGATCGAACCCCTCTTTCGCCGCCACGTCTTCTTTTCGAGCGCGAACTCGCCGCTGGTGATGCTTTCTTCCGGCGCCCTCCTCATGCAGGCGCGTCGGGAGCACGCGCAGAAGTGGCGGCAGCGCCACGTCATGCAAACCATTCACACCCTGAAAGAGGAGGCAGGGGGGGAAAAGGAGCCCGACAAGGAGAAGGAAAGGACGTCTCCGCCTTCGCCGTCGTCGCCTCCGCTTCCTTCTGCCTCACCTCCGCAGTGGGATGGGATGATAGGGGGCGCGATGCCGACTTTTATCCAGGACGCCCTTCTCCGCCCCGCGCACTTTTTAAAGCAGATGAAGCACCTCTCCCAGACGGACCTCTCCGTAACCTCCATCACCACGCAACGGCAAGGGTATGTGTTGATTGGCACCGTCGAGGGCTCCCTTTCGCTGTGGACGCCCTTCGCCGGGGCGCGGGTGGAGCATTTCTACCCCACCATCACCGCCTCCCTCCCGAAATCGATCATCCGCATCGGGGAGTACCTCATCCGGCGGTTTCAGCAGCTTTATGATATGGCGGCAGGGACGAAAGGGCTGGCCACGGGCGGTGGAAACGGAGGGGGAGGAGGAGGAGACGAGCACCTTCCCACCCTTCCCACGCCGTTTTCTCCGCGACGACGGAGTGTGTTGGGGAGCGCGCCGCGCGAGGATGCCGTCGAGGTCGCGTCGAGCCCTTCGTTTCGCTCGTCGACTAACTCCCTCTCCGGGCGGGAGAGCGTGGCGGGGGAGGAGGGCCGGCGGGGGGGTCGCCCCTACGAGGGGGGTTCGCAGCCCCCGACGGATCTCTCGCCCCTCTCGTGGGGGGGGGAATCCTTGACGGGGGAACTCGACGCCGTCGCGTTGCACATCCACCGAAGCGACCTTTCGCGCAGTTTTCCGCACAAAACCGGCGGTCGGCGGCAAAAAATGCCGCTCGTGAGCCTGCCCGCGGCCCCTCGGGGCGGGCTCGACGACGACGATTACCTCCTCTTCACCCGCGCGATCCAGCGGGAGACGAGCGCGCTCGGGGCCGTCCGCGCGGCCCTGCTCGCCGCCACGGGCATCCCCGACCGG